CTGCCGTCCCCGGCCATGGAGCTGGCCGAGCCGCAGCTGCTCGACGCGTTCGCCTACCTGCTGGGCGCCCTGGGCATCCTGAGCTGCCTGCTGCTCAAGCTGGTGGGCTCGCCCTACGGGCGCTACGCGTCGCCCCGCGCCGTCTGCCAGCTGCCCACGCGCCTCGCCTGGGCGCTGCAGGAGCTGCCCGCGCTGGTCGTGCCGCTCTGCCTGTGCGCTGGCGCCGAGGCCGAGCGCCTGCGCCGCTGGCCCAACCGACTCCTCCTGGCCAAGTACCTCGTCCACTATGTGCAACGGTAACGCCGGCGACCTGCGCCCTCCCCCGCACCCCTCAGGCTCCCCTGGGTCCCTGATCGCCTGGGTCCCCGATCCCTCGCCCCGCCGCACCCCCGGGCCCAGCCCTCTCCCTGCTCTCTCTCCGGCGCCCCCCCTCTCAAGCACCCAACCGGCTCAGCCGTGCAGCCCAGACCCAGTACTTTGCCCCTAGCACCCGAGACCAGTGCCCTCCCGCTGCGTCCCAACCCCCCTCCCTGGCCCTCTCCCAGCAATACCCATCCCCACCTACCGGCACCCTCTGGCCCAGACTCGGTGCCCAATGGCCCAGGCACTGACCCTTGCAGGCTCCCTGCACTTCCAACCCCCAGTTGGCGCCTGCCCCTGTGCGAGGAAAACTCAACACTGCACGCGCTGGCTTGTCTGGGGCCGCGTGTCTGGGGCCGATACCCTCTGAGGAATGCCGGTTCAGTCTCCAGAGCGGTGCCGCCGGGGTGCCTGTGTGGCCCCGAGCCCCTGCCCCAGCGCCCAGGTGGGGGGACCTTCCGGGGGCACAGGGGTTGCAGAGAAGGGCAACTGGAGTCTTGTCCGGCTGTCTCCCTGGGGCCAAGCTTTTTAGCTTAAAACCTCTCGCGCTGGTTACTGCCGACTCCCGTGGACCGCTTCCGCGGGGAAGGTCCCTTCTGGAGCAATGGCACTGGGGTGGATGGTCTCCTCCGCGGGCCAAGAACAGAAATACCTGAAGGCGCCAGATCAGAAAAAGATGGCTCTCGGGCCTGGGGAGTCGTGGCTCTCGGGGACCCGTCGAGAAGAGTGGAAACAGGGGCCCTGCTGGCTTGGGGGTGGTGCCAGGAGGGCCTTTCTGGGGGGGGGGGGCTGGAGGGCCTTTCTGGGGCGCAGGGGGCTCCAACTGCAGCGGCTGTTCTATATCCTGAGCCCTCCTGGAAGCCCCAGGTGGCATGGAGCTCTCGGCTCAGCCCCGTGCCCCCTTTTGGCCCCGTCTTTGGCATGCTGATGCCAGGGCAGACAGTGCTACAGGCCCCAGCTCTTCATGTGGTTACTCACTCCTGTTGAGAAACATGCAGCCAGGGACCCCCCTCCCAGACATACCAGGCTGTGGGGTGGCCCAGCCCCCTGCTTCCTGGACGGGGCCATAAAGCTTCTACAGTCAGTGGACAGTTAGCTTTTCAAAATGGGAGAGAGAGCGACTTTCCTTTCTATTCCAGCAACTAATTTATTAAAGGGTTACCTGAGCCGAGTAGGTGAGCTCTTGGGGAACAGCAGAGGAGCCGGCTGGCTGGGGGCCCCCTCCGGCGGGGTGGGGCTGAGCCCCTGCGCGGTCCAGGGCGCCGGTGCTGCCAGGCCAGACAGGAGACCCGCCGGGCAGGGAAGCTGGCCGAGACGCCCTGGAAGTGTGGGGGCCCCGGGTATCTGGTCTGAAACCCGACGGCAGGTGTCCATGGAGGTGTGGGGGGGCGTGTCCTCGCTGCAGGGCAGCCAAGGCCCGCCACCCACGGGTGACTGAGCCTCTGGAGGGAGTGTCGAGGCCCGAAGCCAGCAGCCCGAGGGGGCAGGGAGCCCCGTGCACCCTGCAATCCAGGGGTGAGGGAGGGCCGGGCGCCCACGTGCAGAGCCGTGAGGGAAGAGGGTGGGCGTTTTGACTGGTTTGGCTGCACGCTGACCGCCTCGCGCACCCACCAGTTCGCAGGAGCCCAGCCCCGACCAGGTAGAGGCCTAAGGGGAGGAGCCTGGGAGCGTTTTGGCCAAAGCTGCTCACCTGGCTGCGTGAGCGCCCCCTGCCGGCCCAGCCGGCGCTCGCCCTCTCACCAGCCCACCACCTGCCCCCCCATCCCACGCCACGTTTGCACCCCTCAAGCCTTACCTTTGAGCCTCCCCGAGATCTCCTGGACGCCCAGGTGGCGCCTCCTGGTCACCGTGGCTCCCCAACCGCCTGGCCCACCTCTGCCATTCTTCACTCTGGCCGCCGCCCCCGCGGTACTTGTTAGGGGGGAACCGTTTAAAATTCCAACTCAACTTGCCAGCACGCTTTCGGCCAAACCCTACCTTTCACTTGACTCTATAGCTGGGATTTTTTTTTTTCACAGAGCATTTATTTTTATTTTTCTCAGATAGACCAACCCAAGAAATACATACTATTTGAAAACTTATATTTAAGTAGTTATATATATATTTTTAAAATAATATAGTAGTTTATTTTGCACCTTTTTCCATGTCAGTTGTAATTCCCGTGGGCTCCCCATCACCAAATCACCCTGTGCCATCACCACAGTCCAGTGCATTGCCTTCCTCCTCTGTTTTTGACCCCATACCCCACTCCACCCCCGTAAAATGTCTCTGGTCTATAGCCATTCATTATTTTTTTTTTTTCTCGCCTGGTCTGTTATACTCCTGCTATGAGTAAAATCATGCAGTATTTTTCTTTTTGGCTTATTTCACCAAGCATGATCTTTTCCGTTCCATCCATGTTGCTGCAAAAGGCACGTGTTTATTTTTTTTTTGGTTGTATAACCTTCAAAAAATACCCTTGGTTTTCCAACTCCCACTTTACCTGGTGTGAGAGACTCAGCTGGCAGCCCCTCCGCCCGGGGCCCAGCACCAGTGCAGGCAGCAGAGACGGCCACGCTTGATTCCGCAGCCTCACGGTGCATGTTTCAGATCAGCCCAGCCAGTTCCAAATTAGTTCGCAGTAGCTAAAGATTACTCCAGACCACACTTCCGAGAACGTATAGCCGTAGGTTATACCATCTCCGGGGTGCAGCCCACACCCATTGTTATTCCCAGAGGCAACCTAGTGAGCCCCGGGGACGGCACACAGGCCAGCACATGTGGACACAGGCCCCGTGTTCTCAGTAGCCACATGGAACTTCTTGTACCGCTTTGCACTTTGAATCTGCAAAGGCACATGCTTTCTCTCGCTTCCGTACGAGGACAAACACCAGTTTTCCGAGGCTGGTTTTCCCACCCCTGCCTGCTGGAAAGGCGCTGTACCAACTATCTGTGAGTTGGTACACGGTCTTGTTCACCTTAACGTGGACCTGCAGAGACAAAGGTGAGCGCCAGAACATAGGCCCAGCAACCAAAAAGAAAGTAAAACTTCTGCAGTGTTTTCCCTCCTTGTGGGAAATGCCTCCACCCATGCTTGGCAGGTGTCTGCAAAGGCCAAGAACGGTGTGAGGGCCAGTGGCCCTGGGCATTTGGCTAGAAGCCACCCCCGTCTCCGGAAGGCCACCACTGGTTCTCTGCCCCGCTGGCCTTGGGTAGGAGTCAGCCTGGTGAGCACCAACATGGCACCGAAATGCACCTCGGGAGAGGTCCCGAGCCCTCCTGTGCAAGCGGTGTTCCCTAGGTCCTCCACATACTGTTGGCAGATAGTCGCAGTTTGAACCTGCTGAGGTCTCCCCCAAACAGCCAGAAGACGCGCGAGCCCTGCACAAGTGCAGCCCAGCAGTGCTGCACAGCACTTTAGGCCAGGGTCCTGCATCCAGAAGCAAAGAGGAGCTGGCCCTGGGCATCTGCTGAGGTGCAGGAAAAGGCGCCTCAAGTCCAGTGCTGAGGACCAGCCAGGATCCCCAGGCGTGGCTGCTGAGGGGTGTGAGGGGTTGCACACGGGTGTGTATCCGGGACCTTTTCCCGATTACCTTCCAATCCCGGACAGTGCGGTGCTCGTTAATGTGAGGTTTCTGTACCAGGAGGCCCCCGGGCCAAAAGGGCTGTGTGGCTCGAGTGTCCAGGAGATGACCCTGTTCATTCAACCCGCCCACGGGGAGTTGGCACAGAGGGACGTGTCCACCCCTGGCCCGATTGATGCCCCTCCTGGTCTGAGAAGGAGATGCCATTCTCGTCCTGTCCTGGGGAAATGGGGAGCAGGGAGGTCTGTGGGGTCCCGCAGCCTCCCAGGAGGGGCGCCGGCCTCCACAAAGGGATTCTCTGCTGGTGGGCTTGGAGCCTCCAGTGCGGGGTCCTCCTCTCGCTTCTCCCCTTGACAGCTGGGGGGGGGGGGGCTCTGCCCTTCCTTCTGCCGGCAGGTGAAGGGATAGAAAGATGCGTGCATGTGGTGGCTCACCCCAAAATTGCTTGGATCGCACAATAGCTGCACAGCTCAAAGTCCGCCACACAGGCCACTTCCTGGCCGCCGCACGGCCCCGGCCGAGCCCCGCGCTCAGACCTGGAAGTGAACTGCTTACTCCAGGTGGTTGGACTCAACAAGTGAGCCCTGGCCCGAGCCAGAGACTTGCTGTCCAGCCAGAAGCAAGTCGCAGACGGGCACCTGCAGGAGACGCCCGACAGGAGAGCCCTAGGCAGAGTGAGCCCCGAGGCCCCTGGTGAGACCAGAACCAGCTCCGCGCTGCGGTTTGCCGCTGCCCCGGCTAAAATGGAGCGGACCAGGAAGAAGCGAAGGGAAGAAGCTGTCCGCCCCGATGGCGCCCGAGCCGGCGAGCAGAACTCTGTGCCCCTCCCAGGGGCCCGGCCCCGCAGAGGGCGCTGTCGGGAGTGGGGCTCTGGGGCGCAGAGCCGCACACTGCAGCTCGCTGAGGCCACCCTCAGGCCACAGCTTGCTGGCCTGGCCAGCCACTCCCGCTCAGTCTGCGCCGTCCACACGTGTGGGCCGGAACCACGCAGGCACCTGGGTCCCCACGTGGGGCGATGCGGGATCACCTGTGGGTCCCCCAGGGGCGCCCGACGCCATGGCTTCCCGCAGTCAGTGTCGGGCTCACATCCCACCGCGGGCCGGGCTGTGACGGGGGAGCGGCCGGCAGCGCCCACCGAAGCCCTGCGGGAGGCGACCCCAGCGCACAGAGGCTCCTGGGAGGGAGAGGGGGCGCGACGCGCTGCGGCTTGCTTGTCTGGGCCTCAGGTGCTTGGTCTACCCGCTGCTGATCCGCGGAGGGAAGCCGGTGCCGCTGTACCTGAGCCTGCTGGCCTTCCTGTTCTGCGCCTGCAACGGCTACCTGCAGGGCCGGACCCTGAGCCGCTACGCCGTGTACGCCGACGACTGGGTGTCTGATCCGCGCTTCCTCGCAGGTGGGTGCCCTTGCCCCTTCCCCGCAGACAGGTGCCTCCCCGCTCTCCAGCCAGAAAGCTCAAGCAGTGGCCGTGACTGGGCAGCGGAGGCCCGGAGTGCCCCAGGCAGCCAGCTGTCCCGGAGACCCCCGGCAGAGCTGCTCACCCCGAGGCAGGAGCCCATTAGCTGCCTGAGGGTGAGCCCAGACTAGCCCCGGGCAGCGGCCAGTGGCCCAAGACCCTGCCTGTCCCCCGCCCTTGACTGTCCTCAGCCCTCCAGTTTCTGGCCCGTGAGGAAGTGCCTGGTGGTCTTCCCCCCCCGGGGCTCCACTGCGGTGTCGGCAGAGGCCTGAGCAGGATGCCCAGTGGCTGAGCTCTGGGGTGTGGTTATTACCGGCTGCTGCGGAGTCATGTGCGTTTTCACGTCCTAATGGCAGCTCACACGGTGCAAGCAAAAATGGCAGTAAAACGTG